GAGCATGATGTCCCCAGAGACTATGGTCCCAAGTCTGCAGCCTTGGTGATTCTCTTTCTCAAGGTGTTTGGTTGTCTCTGAAAAGTTACTGCAACTGTGTCTTTGTTGCTTCTGAATGTGTGTGACTAATTTTGTGGCACAAGGGCATATGTAAGATTATTTTCAGCCAAATCTATCCTTGGTGTTGGGTATATTCCTGTTTGTCTTATCTTCTCACTTATCTATGTGTGTATTCATAGCCTAATGTTTGGTGTTAGTGGTAATGCAGTGTTGTACATGTAATAGTATTTGCTTCTGTTGTCTATATTTTATGTGAATGTTTCAGTGTCCTTCCTTTCCCCATTGTCATCATGCTGGTCACAGACTCTTTCCATACCAACCCTCCCTTCATGCAAATCAACATGTGACCCCAACTAGTCTGAAATTTTCCCTCCCCTTCTCTTCCATTCCTGGCAACCAACAAAGTCAATTTCTTTCCCTCAGTAAACTTTTTCTTGACTTTTTACAATAAGGTCTCATACAATATTTGTCTTTCTGTGATTGACTTATTTAACTCAGCATAATGTCCTTCAAATTCATCCAAGTTGTGAGATGATTCGTGTATTACTCATTATTCTTTAATGTTGCATAGTATTCCATTGCATCTATCCACCATAGTTTGGTTATCCATTCATCTGTTGATGGACATTTGTTTCCATCTCTTTGCTATAGTGAATTGTGCTGCAGTGAATATGAGTGTGCATACGTCTGTTCATGTTCTGTCTTTCACCTCTTTAGGATATATTCCTAGTAATGGAACTGCTTGATCAAACGGCATTTCTATGTTCAGTTTTTTAAGGAAATTTCATACCATTTTCCATAATGGTTGTACCATTTTACAGTCCCACCAGCAGTGTATGAGAGTCCCAATCTCTCCACAACCTCGCCAGCATTTGTCATTTCTGTGTCATTGAACTTTGCTATTATTGCTGGGTTGAGACAGTATCTCATTGCTGTTTTGATTTACATCTCTCTAATGGCTAATGATCGTGACGATTTCCTTATGTGTTTGGTAGCCACCTGCATATCGTCTTTAGTGAAGTGTCTGTTCATGTCTCTTGCCCATTTTTGAATTGGGTTGTTTGTCTTTTTGGTGTTGAGGTGCTGAAGTTTTGTATAAATTTTGGAGATGTGTCACAGCCAAATATTTTTTCCCAATCTGTAGATTCTCTTTTCATCCTTTTGGAGAAGTCTTCTGATGCACATAAGAATTTAATTTTTAAAAGGTCCTGGTCATCTAGCTTCTCTTCCACTGCCTGTGCATTTTGGGTTATGCTTGATAGTCTATTTGTGCCATAGATTAGGGGCCCTAGATTTGTCCCTATTTTATCTTTGATGAGATTTATAGTTTGGGGTTTCACATTTAAGTCTTTGATTCAACTTGAGTTCATTGGATCAAGGTATGATCCAGCGGGGTGAGGTATGGGTCTTGTTTCATTTTTCTGAATTTTGCCAACACTACTTGTTAAAGAGGCTATCTCTCCCCCATTTAATGGGTTTTGGTCCTTTGTCAAAGATCAGCTGTCCACAGATGGATGGGTCTATTTCTGGGTTTTCAATTCTCATTGACCTATCTGTCTATCATTGTACCAGTACCATGCCATTTTAACTACTGTAGCTGTATAGTAAGTTTTGAGATCTGGGAGTGTGAGACCTCCTACTTTGTTCTTCTTCAGAAGTAAATTTAAAGACATGCACAAATCTCTACCAGTCATTAATCAGGTGTTTACATAATTTAAGAGAAGATTTTGAAAGTGTTGAAAATACAACAAAATATAACCAAATACTGATTATCAAGTAGTTTACTATTACAGATACATTAGGGGAAAAAAAAAAAAAAAAGTAAATGACAGAAGTGCCCCAGAAGTGACATTGAGAGCCAGAGGTCAATTTCACATAGGCACATATGACACCATCACTGTCACAGTTGAATCTTGCGTGAAAAGAAGGGTGAAAGAGTACGGAATTCATTCAAATAGAATTTCCTTCTTAAATAATGTGGATATATCTGATGAAGAATGCATGAAGGCATCTAAGAAATTAGTACAAGTTTATCTGGATGATATAAACATAAACTTTATGGAGAAGTGTGATGATTTCATTATTACATGATAACTAAGTACAGGAAAGACAAATTTTAATCCTGTAGGCATGTATGATTCCGTAATAGAAGGTGAAATACACTGTGACTTTTTTGATGTTGAAATTGCTTTGCATATATCTTAACTCTAGTGATGACCAAACTGCACAACAGAATGCTCATTTTTATCCCTAATGAGACTCAAAAGCCCTGAGTGTGCAGTAGTGATTCATGACTCAATTCATTATCCTCATGATGTATGAGTGCACATATTGTTCAACAGCTTAACTGTGGTGAAATTATTGAAGAATTTGTAAGAGCAAAGTATAGAAAGAAATATTTTTAAGTATGACATGTAAGAGATGAGAGATTATGTAAAAATAAAATGTAATTTGCTGTAATATTTGTTTTCTGATCTTTTAATTTTCTTCAATTTTATCTTTTTATTTCTTCATTTATAATTATAGCATTTATTACCAAAAGAATCAAAATTGAAGTATGAGCTATTTAAAGCAAAATTGGTGAAAGTCAACTTTTCATTGCAGAACATCAATTGAATTTTTCATTGATTATTGAAAGAATTAAGCTTACTGATTCATTTTCTTTGTTGCAGAAAATGTTGAATATTCTTTTTTTGTAGAAAATATGGTATACAGTAAAAATATTGAAACCCCACATCCACCAAAAATTTTATAATCTAATTAATCTCATTCCACTGAAATGGCATATAACAATTTTTCATCCAATCACTGATATTATATGTGCAATTAAACAGAAGTTACATCATGGATGTCTACAATACATACACACACAGTATGCATGTCTCACGTATCCCATGGCAACATTTGAGTAAGGAGAGGAAAGGGTACCACACATTATCAGTGCTTAGGGCCCTCCCACGCTTTAGCCTCTGGCCCTGGTATCTGTGCTCACTTGTGAGGAAGACAGAGAAAAAATAAGAAGAGCAGGAAACTGATGAGACTCCGTGGTGTGTATGTACTAGTGGTGAGCATTTCATTTTTCTCCAGAAGTTGCCTGGTGCCCAGGGGATTGGAGTTTCCAGTGGAGAGACAATCTGTCAACCAGCTTCCAGAGTAGGGTTGAAGTCAGCATTCAAGTCTGAATTCAGGTTGGTATATAGGGATCAAAGATCAGGCAGAAAAGCTAGGCTCACTGGGGAGAATTCCCCCTATTTTTTCTAGAGAACTCTCCTTCCATATTCCAGACTCAGGCTCAGAGGGACTTCCCAGTTCTCTCATTAGACACACATTCTTTAGAAAATATGCAAAATGGCCAGGACATTACAAGAGGCATCGAGATACAAGAGAGGAGTGAGAATATTAGTTGAAGGGTGGAGGAAGGTACAGGAATGCAGCTACAGCAGGAGATAGGAACCTTAACTCAAGGGGAGATAGGGAGATGGGGAGGATGAGAAAGAGAGGGACCTGCAAGCTCAAGAAGGAAGGGAGAAAGGAAGAGGAACAGGGAGTCTGAGCAAAGGGTGAGCAGAGAGCAGCAAGCCCAGAGCCACCAGACGGGTCCAAGGATTGACGGGCACGTGCACCAGGCCGGTTTCCCTTCTCCGTCCTCCACAGCCCAGCGACAGCTGGCTCAGGAAGAGCCTGTGGGTGGACTAGAGAAAGGCACCTTCTCTGGGCTTCTGAGTTAAAGAAAAGGCCAGAACAGACCCATGAACAGGGTTTGGTGAACAGGGCGAGGTGAGATTGGAGAGCCCACTGTCATCTCATCTAGAACCTGTGTGGCATGAAATATTCTTGGACATGCAGGGTGGCTCTGCCTCCACTCCGGACAGGAAGGTAGTACTCACACTGTGTTATTGGAGCCACACTGCGGGGTGGGGCAGAGTTGGGAGGATCCTTCAAGCTATCCCCTTCCTTCTAAGCCTTTCCTCTAACAAGACCTGAGTTCCTACAACAACATTGCTGAACAGCCTGCCCAGGAATTACAAAGGATTCCAAAGTCAAGGTGATAACCTCTTCTTTCTTGATTCTGCCAATAGAGAAAATCGATGGGAAGGAACACATACAGTTGGGCTATGATGAAACGTGAGGTCCAAGTCTGGGAGGAGTGCTAACAGAAAAGGTTGGTTTAAGCAGCTGTGAAACACAAGATGTTCTCCCTACAATCAATCATTTACTTCTTATTTGTCTACATAACCACCACAAGGGGAAGAGGCTTAAGTAACATCCTAAAGATTAACAGAAGGAACCTTCTACCCTAATAAAATCCCCAAATAGTCCACCTTCTCCATCCCACCAGGATTTGTCAGATGAAAAGCACTCCAACACCCATGTCATCTCTCCAGGTTGGTTCAGAGGCCCACCATACACAAAAAGCATATGCCCACAGCAGCAATGGGCCAGGATGATATGATATCCAACCAGGACAAGAGGGCCTGTGGGGATTTCTAAGTGCATATGGCAACCCAGTCAATAAATGGCAGAATATTCTATGATAGCCGTAGGACCAATGATGAAGGAGCAGAGTAAGTACTGTGACAGTGTTCTATGGCTGTGGAGCTAGCTCACCCCCTCTCTCCAGCATCCTGCCTCCCCGGGAAAATATAAATAATTGGAATAATAGAACTGCTACACAAATATATACACTTCTTTCATCTAATTCTACCAACATTGCTAAGATGTGATTTTGGGTTCAAATGTGGCAACAAGCAGAAACTAAGCCTATGATAGTCTAATGGGCAGAGAACAGGTCTCTTGCTTGGTGTGTCTACTTCCAAGGCCTGAGTGGGATCTGTACACATGATTTGATGTTTGCAATGATGATAATGACAAGACGGGACTTAGGACTGCCAGGTTATGGAATAATCCATAATGAAGATGATTCTACCTGAAGAGAAGAGCTAGCCTTTGAGGAGCTGACAGCAGTGTTTCACCCCATCTAGAAAGGCCTCCTTGAATTTGTCATTCCTGAGAGTGAAGATGAAAGGGTTCAGGAAAGGGGTCACCACGGAAATCAGCAGGAAAACAATCTTGTTGTACTCAGCTGCCTGTGTTTGCTTGGGTTTCACATACAGGAAGAAGCAAGTGCCATAGCCAATGACCACAAAGGTAAAGTGGGAGGCACATGTGGAGAAAGCTTTCCTCTGGCCAGAGGCTGAGGGGATCCTGAGGATGGTGGAGATGATGTAGGTGTAGGAGACGATCGTAGGGATCAAGGAGCCAACAACAATGAAGACAGCCATTAAGAAGAGGACAAACTCTGTGAACAGAGTGTCGTCACAGGATAGTTTGAGCAATTGTCCTCTGTCGCAGAAAAAATGGTCTAACACGTTGGATTTGCAGAAGGTAAACTGAAACGTGGCATAGACGGGCCAGATTTCAGAAAGGAACCCAAACACCCATGAAGCAATCACAGCCCAGGTGCAAGTGCAGCTGTTCATGATGATGTTGTACCTCAGAGGGTTACAGACAGCCACGTAACGGTCCACAGCCATCACCCCCAGTAATGCAAACTCTGCAGTCCCCATGGCAAGGAACAAGAAGAGCTGAGCAATGCAGGCAGTCAGCGATATTGTCTGCATCCTAGAGAGCAGCAGCCCCCAGAGCATCATGGGAACAATAGCGGTGGTGGTCATGCTCTCTAGGACAGAGAGGTGGCCAAGGAAGAAGTACATAGGGGAATGCAGACGCTTATCAATGCAGACAATCACAATGATGACCAAGTTTCCCATTATTGTCACTGAGTAAAGGAAGAAGAATATAGTAAAAAGGATACGGTGCAATTCTTTTGACCCACGAAAGCCCAGAAGGCAGAATTCAGTGGCACTAGAATGATTCCCCATCAGTTAGTCCTTCCTCTGCTCCTTGTGAAAACTAGAGATCAAGGAGAGGTAACATGCTCCACATGGCCCTGCATGTGAGGAGTGAAGACAGGTCAGGATGAGGAGCTGTTTCTAACGTTGCCATCAGGTGAGATGTCCCCACTACCATGGCCGTTCCAGTACCACTTCCTGTCAGCTGGACTCTGACTCATGGCGATCTCACATGTGTTGGAGTAGAACTGTGTTCACAGAGTTTTCAATGGTTGATTTCTTGGAAATAGATGACCAGCCCTTTTACCCAAGGCACCTCTGAGGGGACTCGAACCTCTGAACCGTCAGTGAGCAGATGAACACATTGACTATTTGTACCACCCAGGGCCTCCATGATGGACAACGTCCGGTCTGAATGTTAAGTCCCCCAAGGTCTATAAATCAATTTGCTGGAAGTGAGCTCCTGTGATGTGAGGATTTCTCCCAGCCATATTGCAGGGGCAGGAGCTAAGCCCCTTCAAGCAGCCACTTTTGAAGCTGAGTTAATCTTCTGAACATGAGATTGTCCTACTTCCTATTCCATTGACAGTATCAAATCCACCTCTTACCAGATGACATAGTGACCTCAAATGTCCTTATGATGTTGATATCTGAGGGACAGAACGCTGAAGTCCTCCTCTGTACTGCATAAACACAACCTGGGCCAGAATAAATGATCAGAGGGCCCAGGACCAACATCTCTGCATCCCCCACGTTCCAAAATACCTCGACTTCAGGGAAGCAAATGGGAATCTGTGGTCCTCAGCTCTGCCATGGTATCAATCCCACAGAAAATCTTGGGACCATTGCTAAGAGCAGATGCATTTTTCTCTGACCCTATTTTCCTCAGAAAGCGTAGGATGAAGTAAAGATGCCACCTGGACAGACCAGAGATAAATCTGAGTTCCCAGCTGCTTAGGACACCTAGGCCTCGACCCTTGGCATCCTCCAGCCCATCCTCACTCAAGTGCCACCTCCTGGGGGGACCCTTCCCAATAACCTACCCACAGAAGGGAAGACACACTCACTATGGGACTTCAGTCTTCTTCTTACTGCTTATGATGACCTGATGTTTTATTATACACTTAATTATTTATTCCATTCCTTAATTTGATATTAAACAAATGTAACCATGAAGAAAGCAAAGGAAAATCCTTGACGTGTGGAGTTTATCTTCAAGGAGGAGGTGGGAACTAGACCAGAGACATATCTACAGAAAATAGCACCTACGGTCAGCATGAATTGTGCCTCTGTCCAAGCATCTGACACCTACTTTTCAGATAACTTTACCATAACATCAGCTCAAAAATACAAGTCAAGCCTATTAATCTTTTACTTAGTATATATGGCACTACATGAAAATGACAACTTCACCTTCCTGGCTTCCACCGATGACTCTCTGTCTAGGATGTTCTCAGTCATTGTTTTCAATTTCTTCTCTTTCTACACTCAATAGAGCAAGATCACACAGTCTGCCTTGACTCGTGGAGGCCTTCACATATGAGAGTATTAGCTTTAACTTGCTGAAGGATCTCTCACAACTGAAGATTAAAACTGCAATGGTTAATAGAAATTGCTCAGTTTTGATCCCCTTCAACTGGTACTCAGGGCACATGCCATTCTCACCATGTCTTAGATACACCCCTGGCTTAGAGCACATGAAAGAGAGATCAATAAAATATGTAAGATGTTAGTAGGGTGTAAACTGTGCCACAAAAACAATAAATAAAACCAGGAAGAGAGATAGGAAATTTAATTTTATTTACTTATTAATTATTCGTCTATGACATTGGAATATAAACTCCATGAGATTGGATGGATGGAAGGATAGATAGATGGATAATTGGATGGATGGAAGATTGAATACAACTTGGTCCTGGATGGGGTCAGTTCTGCCATATCCCCTTGATCCTACTATTCTTGGTTTTCTGTCCTGCCTCAACAAATCACAACGTAAAACCTCTCACTGTGGCCATTTTACTGGTGGAGAAATAGGCTTCAAGGATGGAATTATTGGGCTAACACAATCCTCTGGTTTTACACAATTTCTGCATAATCAGGACGGGGTGAAGAGAAATGAGAGAGAAGGGTCCCGATGAGATGCAGGGAGCTGTGGGTATCCCCGAGGCTGGCAGAGCCGGGCTGACCCGCCTGCCGTCTGCTGACGTGGAAATGAGCTGTGCACTCCGCAGCCCTCTGAGCCTCTCCTCGGACTCTCGTTGCCCTCATTCTAGAAGGGCCCGAGCCCAGAGGCTCTCATGCTGATGCTCTCCTCTCTCCATCGCACATGGGAGCCCTGAGAAGACGCTTACCTCTATGTAGGGGCTTCACTGCCCCTTCCCATGCCCTCCAGGGCTCAGCCGAAGCTGCCTCCTGTCTGCCTGGAGTTGAGCTGTGCACAGGGACCAGAGGTGAGGACCAGAGGTGAGGAGGGAAACCGTCCTCAAAGAGGAACTGAGGGAAACGTCCAGAAATAGCACCGCCCTGGGGAGCTGAGGGTCTCTCCCCTGGGGACTTTCTCACCGAGGGCCCTGTTCTTAATTAGCCCCGGTTCAGGGAGTCCCTGAGCAATCAGTCTGCAAAGAGCAGAATAAACTTTGAGTTATCCCCAACTTTGGCCAATTAAGTTTCAGAACTTTTGAAAGTGTTGGTTTAATGGGAGAACCTGAGATCTCACCAGTTGGGGCTTCTCAGCACCAAGATGCTTTCCCACAAGGCCCCAGCTCTCAGTTACCAGGAGATATCTCAGAATCCACATAGCCTGCCCCCTCTCTCCTTATCCCGGCTCCCACCAAAGCTCCTCTCAGCCACTCAGGGCCAAAACCACCCACTCATCCCCCTAAATTAGACACCACAATTGGCCTCTAAAACACTTATCAAATCCCAAGAAGCCTGCATATTGGTCTCAGTCAAGAAACATCCACTGATGATTAAAACTCTGAAAAACTAAGAAGAAGGAAACATCCTCAAATGGACACATGACATCTACAACATCTTAGAGCTAACATCAAACTTACTGATGAGACTGAAAGCATTCCTTCTAAGGTAAGGAACAAGGCAAGGATATCTGTCCTCACCACTTTTATTCAACACTGCACTGCAAGTCCTTGGCAGTGCAATGACATAAGAAAATAAAAATTTTAAATCAAGTTTGGAAATAAATAAAATTCCTTATTCACAGATGACATGATTCTGTATATTGAAAATCCTAAGAAGTCTACAAAAATAAGCATTAGAATCAATAAGTGAAGTTAACAAGATCACAGAATAAAAAATCAATACACAAAAAATCTATTGTAAGAAGAACTAGATGGTGCCCAGCTACCACTGTCATCCACTTGGAAG